ACGAAGGGCTAACGCTCGAAACGCCAGCTTTTATAATCGTAACAGTGGCCAATTTACCATTTCAACTTTGTTGATATATTCAAATTTTTTGTTACCCCCACCGACGTAGCCCCAAACAGTTTCTTTAGAAACTATCAGCCTTTATTCACGGTCAAGAAAGTTTAAGAACTATAAAATATCAAACAGCTCTTTATTGAACTGACAGAAATTATGGGGACTTTTCCAGTTTTTGAAAATGCAATAGAAAATTCCCGATAAAAAACGTAGGTTCGGCTTTTTTTTCTATACTTTGGTTATCTGCTTTAGCCACAAGATGATTTCATTATTCAAATAACATTTCAGGTTTATTTTTATTACACTGGGCAAACATTTCTTTTGCTTTAGAATCAGTAAATGTCGTGGAAGTTTAAGGGAGAAACTGGGTTACAACAGTGTTAAATTTTGTTTTCCTTTAAAGAGCTGCCACCAATGTTGCTGTTCCAATAACGACTGTCGCCCATTTGTTGGAGTTCATGTTTAACAAAGAACACTAAAATGTTATGGCGTAACCTTTGATTGTAACTGATATACTGTGAATGGTACTACAGGAGATAACACCGGTGGTACAGCGTACTTTTTATCTTTTAACTTTCTTCTTTCCAGTTCAAATCCAGCACGACCCAGAGAGTGATGACAGCGATGACAACGATGACGAGTCGAAAGATCAAAGTGAGCATGGGAAAATCGTAGAGCAGATCAATCATGAAGAGCCTGAAGGGAGAGATGAGACTGAACAGGGTGAAAAACTACAGGATGACCACGAGGATCCATCACAGAAGAAAGGCGAACCTGAAGAACACAGAGAAGAATTAGAAAACTACTTCAAAGGATCTGAAGAACAGTATGAGGATGACTTGGAAGATGAGTCTGACAAAAAAAAGGAAGTATCGGAAAACGACTACAAAGAAGCCGAAGAGCAAGATGTAGATAACATGGACCATGAAGCTAGGAAAGACAAACAGTTTATTGTGAATAAGGGTATGTTTAACAATCCTCTGCTTCCTCTAAAAAATAAGAACTTGATATATTAAGATATTTTCATCAATTTGGAGAACTTACGGTGAACAACCTCTCCTCATTATACATTGCGCAGATTTTTAGTTTCTAAAATCTCGTCACCTTGCTTTCCCTGCTAAACTACATTAAGTGGTTTATTCGAATAGTGGAAGTGCAGTATACGGTGTACTTTTGCTCACCGTAGAGTTTTGGAGCGGTTTTTCTTTCCCGGCGCGTGGCACTACGGTGCCCCACTTTATTTAACAATTTCACTATGAATTGGTCTAAGCAGATTGTAAGTATTCAATACAGGGCACATTACTGAATTTCTTCTTTTATACTTGGGTCATTTTATTACGCAGCAGATAAACACCAAGCAGATGAAAATCTCCCAGCAGCCTCAGGGCGAGAGTCTCTAAGAGCACCGCTGGCCAAGCTTGACGATGACAGTGATCTTGATCAGTTTTACGAAGCGCTGGATGATATAAAAGAAACGAGTGTGTAATGAACAGCACTATTCTGGGATGAATGCATTCTATATGTAACGAATTAACCTTAAAATCGATTAAGTAGACGTTTGGCTCTATCAATGCGCATGTAGTGACTCTGAAATACTGAAACAGTAGCTTTGGTAAATAGTGTCAAAAGACAAGCTTGCTGTTTTATGTGAAAATGTAAGTGCCCTTGTCATGTAATATATACCAGTCAAAAATTTGATAAGCAAAATGTAATAAAATGGGTCATTTTAAATGATTACTTGCTAGGGATACTTCTTTACGCGCCAATGTCTTGTTTAGCTGAGGTTCGGCTGTTTACGTGGCACTTTGTAGATG